TCTCTCTCTCTCTCTCTCTCTCTCTCTCTCTCTCTCTCTGTCCGGCCACCTGTCTCTCCGCCGTTCTCTTTTATCTCTATTTCTTGAGTATTTAAGGGTATTTAGGGTGAAGGATGGGGAAGAGTGAAACGTGTAATTGTTGCGAATTTTTCGATCGACTCTCAGCTCGACCCGAAGAATCTCTCGCGACTCTCGGGTGTCTTCCGCGCGGAAAATTGGCGAGACTTCTCAAACGAAGTATATCGCGCCTCGTCGTTTGCTTGGACAACGTAATTACGTTCCTCGAGTCCAGAGAAAAGTTGAATTTCTCGGGGAGAATGGTGTATTCTAAATGTTTCGCGAAGGGTAGAAAATATTGGGGACTCTCCGAATTGCGTCGTTAATACCCGTTTCTACCAACTTTGGTTAACCTAACTAGCTGGTTATTCCGCGCGGAATCGCATTTCAATTCTGACTAAGAGAAATATGATAAGTTAATTTCGTCGGAACAACCAGCCGACTAAATAAACCAAATTTGGTGTATAAATGCTCCATTCCAATGCTCCAATGTGCAATTGGAGAATAATTTTTAATAACGTTTTGTCGATCATTTTCGGCAAATGGTGAATGTAATCTAATTCTGTTCCCAAGAACCCGAAAATACGAGTCTAAACTTAGTTTCACTGAGATTGACTTTTAGAGTACGCGAGAAATCAATGCTACCTTTTTCGCAATTCTTGAAGGCACGGAGCAGATCGGCGTAATTTTTGGCTCCTTTTCGCGATAACATAACGATGAAAATATCTTATAAAATATAACTCAAGTGTCATCTAATATTATTTTTTCTCTTTTTGCAATAAAAGTATTTTAATACGACTTTTTATTTGACGATTTAATATTTTAATTTAATGTAATATTAAATAATATTAATTTAATATATATTAACTTGATTTGATCTTAGTTATATCTAATATTAAATTATACTATAATATTTATATTCTATTATAATATTTCTACTATAATATTAAATAATATCTACTTTACTAATTTAATATTTTAATCTAATTCAATTCAATCTAAATTAAATTTTTAAAATTCTTCTCTTTGTATAAGATAATTTTCTTCCTTCGTGGACTCTTTTTAATAAATGTAATTTTTTGTGAATTGTACTTTCTAAATTTTCCTGGAACGGAGTCTCACTCGAAACGAGTGAAAAGTGGCAGTATTTCCACTCGAGGCAATAGTGAAAATACTGTCACTCGAAATCGCAACAGTGAATGTTCCATTCAGGCTTTGAGTGGATTCCGACTCCGTATGAGCGAATGTTTCAATCGATTGGAGTGAACATGTTCCTGCGACGGTGGAGAGTACATCAACTTCACTCTTCGGATGGAATATTCACTCCACGATTCCGGATGGATAATTCGTTCTGTATGCGCGAGAAATTTAGAGAATAAGAGAGGGCTTTATTTTCCCATTAATTAATAAATTAATTATAACGATTGCGATTACGAGTACGACGGCCGATGCTCGGACGAGGGGAGGAAAGCTCGCGGCAGCTGAGACTCAGCCTGGCGAGAGATCTTCCGCGACAATAACACGGCAATTTCTTTTCCACAGAGTACATGCGCAAGGGTGCGCCCTACGTCGAGGGCGGCTATAACGACATCGACCCCGGCTTAAACCCCGCTTTACAGGACCATTATCGCATTACTCCCAGTCCAGGTGGTCCCGGAGATCAGTATGGTGGGTAGCAGAATAACCGATAAACTCCAACAAGTGCAACGCGCTTCCGTTTCCTCACACCTTTGCCGACGGCATGCCGGCGAAGACGTCGCGGCTCTTCAGCGCGGTCGATTCGGCCTCGTTTAACGACTCCTCGTCGGCGTGGCACGCTCGTGCGAGCGCGTGCACGCCGTCTCTAATGTGCGGCTTTTACGGGCGAGCGCGATTAGATTTACGTCACAGCGTAAAACGCTCGAAAATGCGCGCGTTATCACGTCCCGCGCGGGACACCGCATAATTCACTTTGATTATCTCGCTGTCTGACATTCGTTGTTATTTTATGTTCACTCTAGATCGAATCAGCAACTCGTGGAATATGGATGACTCCGGCGAACCCTCTCAACATCCTCATGGTAGGGTTACATCCACCATTTATCTAACTTGCCTCTCTTTCTATCCTTTTCTCTTTATATCTGCCTCTCTCTCTCTCTCTCTCTATCTCTCTCTTTCTCTCTCTCATGCGTCTTTCAAACGTTTCCTTGAATATCGAGATATGAATTCATAACTGATAACTTCTCGGAAGATTACGAAATCTCCGTTATATTTGATTGGTGTCAGTTAACTACGTGACTCATTACAAAATCTATCCATATTCCATTAAACTTGATTGAATCAGCGCTTTTGCCTAGTTGCAAAAATGTTGTGTAAAGTCTGATGAATGTAACAACAGTAATGTTTAATTTTTTGGAAAATTATACTTCTCAGACCGCGCCTTTCGTTTTAATCGATGACTGTCTACTTATATTTGATAATTTGTTTCTTATTAAAACGTAAATAAGGAATTACCTTTATATTATATTTTTAATAATATATCTGTGTTTAATATGGATAACAAGTTTAGTAATCAAGTCAACAGTTAATATACGTGGAAGTTAGTTTTACGTGAAAAAAATAAATACAAAGTTATCGATCGAACGAGCGATTAGCAGCGCTCTCGCGACACGTTCATCTGTCTAAGTTGCATCAGACCGAGATAAGCGGCGATAACGCAAATAAATGAGCGATAACGTAAGCGACAAGCGGCAGGTAAGGCCGCTGAGGTGAATTATGCGTTTCCGCGTGCGGCTCCGAGACAGAGACAGACGACATCTGATCGATGTGAAATCAAACACGCCTAGATCGCGACGAACGTGAAAGTCACGTGAATAACACATGCTCCGTCTCTTCTTTTTAGACGAGGGCAAAGTGGCCTACGGATACGTGTCGCCGTCGCCTTACGGGCCAGTGGGTTATGGACCAGCCGTGGGAGTGGGCCCGGTACCGAGCGACGTACCGGGCTACGAGGAGGGCCATCCGGTGCCGTTACCATCGGGAGTACCACCCGGCATCTTTGAGGACGAGGTGCACCTACAGCGGTTGCAATCGCGTCACCCGGTAGTGCCCGGCATGGCCAGCCCGTTGGACGACGACCAGAAGTCCCTGCGCTGGCGCGACCCCAACCTGTCCGAGGTGATCGGTTTTCTGAGCAACCCCAACAACATAATCAAAGCGAACGCGGCCGCGTACCTGCAGCACCTCTGCTATATGGACGATCCGAACAAGCAGAAGACGCGCAGTCTGGGCGGCATACCGCCGCTGGTGCAGCTGTTGGACCACGACAACGTGGAGGTGTACAGGAACGCGTGCGGCGCTCTGCGCAATTTATCGTACGGCCGGCAGAATGACGAGAACAAGCGCGCCATCAAGAACGCCGGCGGCGTGCCCGCCCTCATCAACCTGCTGCGACGGACATCCGACGCGGACATTAAGGAACTGGTCACGGGAGTGCTGTGGAACCTGTCCTCGTGCGAAGTGAGTTTCAGAAGCGAACAACAAAGATACGGGATTCGTTGTTAACTCCGGAGGGACTCGGGAGAGACCAGTCGATTAATACACGAGGAAAAAATTCATAGTTAAATTAACGTGACAATGGCACAAGTAAATGGGTTCGAGGAAACAGAATTTCTGGTTCTTACCAATCAAATTCGATCGATGAGAACCAGAAATTCAGTTTCATCCAACCAAGAGACGTTTGTCATTGTCATGTTAATTCAAGCACTCTTTTTTCTCGTCGCATACGTTGACTGCAATGATTTCCGCTGATCGTTTTAATATTTAATTAAAGTTTGAATCACACAAGGACGCGTTGAATAAATGCGGTTTATGATGCATGTATTCGCCAGTTCGTTTCATTGATTCACTCTATTGCTACATATTAGCTATATATGCGAGATTATAATAACTGAGATTATAATATATAACTGAGATTACGTTTTATACGTGAATTAGTTAAACGCGGCGACGCTACAATCAGCGGAATGTTCGAGATCTAAGCAGATAACTCGAACACACAACGCGGTTTCAGGATCTCAAGAGGTCGATCATCGACGACGGCGTGACGATGGTGGTGAACAACATAATAATACCTCACAGCGGCTGGGACCCGAGTTCGTCGAGCGGCGAGACCTGCTGGTCCACGGTCTTCAGGAACGCGTCTGGCGTGCTGAGGAACGTGTCCAGCGCCGGCGAATATGCGCGGAAGAATCTGCGCGAATGCGACGGCCTGGTCGACGCGCTGCTCTACGTGGTACGCTCGGCGATCGAGAAGTCGAATATCGGCAACAAAATCGTGGAGAACTGCGTGTGCATTCTGAGGAACCTGAGCTACCGTTGCCAAGAGGTGGAGGACCCGAACTACGACAAACACCCCATCCAGTCCACGGTGCAGAACAGGGTCGCTGCACCCGCGAAAGGTGAGGCGGGAGGGACGGGAAAGAGAGTGATTTAGTGTCGTACTTTGGAGCCAAGTTTCAGACGCGTCTATCTTACGTGTTTGAGAAAGAGAAAGAAAGTGTGTATGTGAAGGATTCAGTACGAGCTGATCGCTCTTCTTCAGAAATTGGAGAGGAGAAACTCGAATAATATGTAAAACTTTAGCTCAATGTTAATTTATACATTTAACGACGTTTCTCCGCTCTTTTCATCGTTTCTGATCTTCAGAAACAGATTCACTTGATTTTATTTTAGTAGATCCACAGATATGATACGAATAATTGTTTACGTATAAAAGATACATAAATAAATGTACAAGAGGATTTTTCAACTCTGCCATGAATTTCACGAAACGGGAAACGTGAATTTCCCTCCTACGATCGCATCAGTGCAATTAAAAAAAAAAGATTGTGAAATTAATGAAGAAAAATAAAGGCGATAAATTAATTTTGTCGAGCATTTCTCTCGAGCGAGTTAGTGGGTCATCGTGCTGAATTCTTCACGTGGAGAAAAACGAGCCTGCATACCGGCGGACGCGCAACACGGCATATTCACACGGGCGACCGTGAGTTGCGCGCGCGGTAACGCATCTTAAAACGATGAAAAATAAATTGCGGTGGGAAAGAAAAAGGGAGAGAAATATCTCGAGCGTCGTGCTTTCGGGACGGATATGTTTTCCTCCGCACGGATCTCCCTCAATGTGCACGTAAATACGCTCTCTCGTATCCGTGTGTATGCGTGCGCGTCTGTATGCGTTTACAGAGATTGGGAGGGGCAAATGAGGAGGGTAAATGATTCACCCCTTAAACCGACCATGAAATTAGATCACAGGGAACAACACACACGCAGCTGCCCCGCTGCAGGCATTTTTCCCGCTATTGTGTGAAATTACAATGTGCATACACGGCCGTTAAATATGCGATCCGTCGCGATAAGTTCGGCTAATCGTTTCACCTCATCGAAATTCGTCGCAATAATCCGTCACGTTTTTACATTAGAGGACTCTCCCCAGATCTTTACGTTCAGAAGGTTCCGAAGGAGAGATTTTTTCTATAAAATAAAATAGAGTTGTATATGTACGTTTTATTTTGAGGTATAATCTTCCTCGTTCGCGATAATATTGCCGTAAATACTCGATATTCATTCGGGTATTAATTACGGTTAATTCTGCCGTTCAAGTTTCACGAATACACGCGCAGTGGTTGATATTTTATTACGGTGTAGTTGGTGTAGTTACAGATAGTTAGAGTTCACGTAGTATTAAATTCGATCGAAACTTCCGGACCGGTTTGGCGGAGTGAGATGGAGCGAGATTTCTATCGCGAACCGGAGAAACCGTGGATATAACGTGCTTAGAAAAGTGGCGATAGCGCAACACGTGCCGCAATCGGGAGAATAGGTGTTAGGATAATTTTCTAGATTGAACGAAAATATTTCTTTAATTTTTTATCGCGTCTCTCGTTTTCCAATGATTGATTTGCACTTTTCCCCATGTCGACAGACACGTACAGTGTGCTCAGAGATGTACATAGGCCACAACATACCCCATATATCACATATCTCTCTCTCTCTCTCTGTCTATATTTTTCTTAGGTGCCCCTCTTTTTTTGGTTGGTCGACAATAGTTAGTTACGAATCCTCCGAATCTCGGAGAGAGACCCTTGGCTTTCGTTTCTCAGACTTGAGTTTCTCGCGAATTATACCAATTTTTTAGGAATCCTAGTTCAGCATGAATTAAACTGTGTTTCAATCTTTTTAGCGTACAGTTTATGCCAAGGTAAGACCCTCTTGCAATTCCACTGATAAATTAGTTTCCGTCCGACGAGATCTACATATCTATATGGTTACTATATTGCATGCCTCGCTTCTTAGCCGTATCGTACGACAGCTGACTTGTGTTACCTCTATCTCTAATGAGTTGACACTTTTCCCGTTTAGTATTGTACTCGTTTCTCTCTTTGGTTTCCACTTCAAGGTTGTGTAATCGCTATGTTCCTTTTTTCGTGCAACGATCGATACATCTCAGCATACACTGTCTATTTTGTGCTAAAGTCCGATGCAGAGAATTGGCCGGCGATCGATCGAATTAAATTAAAAATTAAACGAGCTTGTCGCAAAGTATGGCAAATATAGTTTATAGTTTCGTTCACAATTTCGTTCATTACGTAGATAAATAAATATATATATATATATATATATATATATATATATATATATATATATATGTATATGTATATATGTTATATATAGCTGATTTGATTTAGCGGGTTAGTTAGCCTAGAACTTCATAGAGATGTAATAGGTGCCTTATAAGTACATAAGCACACGATCTGTCGAAACTTTCCACGATATTATCGATCGGTATTGTTCAATATTGGCTGTCTCTAATACAACGTAGTGCAAGACTCAATCGCGACACAAGCGCGGCTCGATAATTGAAACTGAAATTGACTCTTTGTGACTGATTATCTCAGACTGAAATAAAAATTCGAAATTAACTATGCAACATCCGACTCGCAGCTTCGCGATTTTATCGGTGCGAAATTTTTCGTTGCTTGTCCAACACGATCTTCCTCTATCTCGCTAATACGGATTTTTCCTTGTTCTGCTCTAGGCGAGAACTTGGGCTGTTTCGGCGGCAGTAAGAAGAAGAAAGACGGTCAACCGGTCCAGAAGGAAACGACCACGTCGCGTACGACAAGTCCACGCACCGAACCAGTCAGAGGAATGGAATTGCTTTGGCAACCGGAAGTGGTACAGTCATACCTCAGTCTCCTGCAAACCTGCTCGAATCCGGAAACACTCGAGGCCGCGGCCGGAGCGCTGCAGAACCTCGCGGCCTGCTACTGGCAGCCAAGCATTGAAATTCGCGCGGCCGTTCGCAAGGAGAAGGGTCTCCCGATATTAGTGGAGCTCTTGAGGATGGAGGTATAAACATATTTTGTCGTGTGTTTCTAGCTGAATGAGGCAATGTATGCATATCGAATTCTCACGAGATCTGGCATTTATTATTTAAACTTTTCCTTTTTATTATTATTAAAATTATTATTATTTTCATTATTTAAATCTGAAAATTATAATTTAGAGAATATTATAATATTACAGTCAATTTTTTATTTTTACCGTATTTTATACATCAGTATAATATCAAATTATCACTATTCACTATCAGCATAATATTAATTATCATTAATAATTATCATTGAATAACGCAATAATATAACGCGATAATATAATGATACATACGATACTATGATATTTAATAATATAAGATAATTAAAATATCTTACACATGTGTGCGAAAAATATTTATAAGGATATTCTCTGATATTCGGTTATTTCTGATTTTTCTGTATATTCTACTTACATGAAGTTTTGCTAAGTATCAGCGGCTCTAATCCCACTATGCATATTTTATCGAAATGTAAGAGGCGTATAATTTAGGATTCACTTGACGCCTTTTCCGGCCAGGTGGACCGAGTAGTCTGCGCGGTCGCGACCGCGCTGAGGAACTTGGCGATAGACCAACGCAACAAGGAGTTAATAGGGAAATACGCGATGAGGGATCTCATCCAGAAGCTACCGTCTGGAAATAATCAGCACGATCAGGGCACGAGCGACGACACGATCGCGGCGGTGCTCGCGACACTGAATGAGGTCATCAAGAAGAACGCCGAGTTCTCGCGGTCATTGCTCGACGCTGGCGGTGTCGACAGACTAATGAACATCACTAGGCAACGCCAAAAATATACGCCGCGCGTTCTCAAATTTGCAGGTGAGGTCAAGCGCGATTTTAGAGACGATTTTAGGTGTGTATTTATACACCAACCGTCGATCAAAATTGCCGACTCAACAGATTACACGGAGTTATATTATCGTTAAATCGTAGTGTAGAAATGTGAATGAACGGATATCAATTTTCATTATTATGTATTAGTTGTGCACATATGTGATAATTGAAATGTTATTTTTGCACTTGTCACTTTTATTGTTTAATCTATAAAAATTATCTCATTTAAAGATCTTGATTCTAGATGTGCGACAGGCACATTTGCCAAATCTCGCTCTCTAATTATGTCCGTCGCGATAGAAACATTAATGCCGTATTACATTACGCTAATTTCTGACCGCGTCTCATCCCGCACGAACGTGTATTTTTAGGACAAGTACTGTTCACCATGTGGCAGCATCAAGAACTGCGAGACGTGTACAAGAAGCACGGCTGGAAGGAACAGGACTTTGTCACGAAAACCGTCGCCGCCAGAAATTCAGGGCCTAATTCACCCAACAACGCTAACAGGTAAACGTCGCACATAAATGGAGTAATAAGTTGGATTTACATACGGTGGCACGCATTTTGTACATTTCCCGCGAATCATCATCGTTTCGAGAGATAATGGAAACATTTCGTATTCAAAGCTAAACGATCATTTCGCGAAACAATTTAGACAATTATATAATTGAATTGTAAAATCTTTTCCAATTATTGTATCCAATTAATTTTGTATTTTGCTTCCTCTCTCTTTCTTTTTAAGAATTTAATCGAAACCGTCGTGTTGCGATATTTCACGTCGAAAGTTGATAGCACGAGTGTGTCACCGTATATAAATTAAACAAGTATTGTATGATTATGACATCGCGGCAATTTTGTTTTTTCCTAAAAAGGTACCCTCTGAATTTATGATGTTTTGTTGGTCGTTTAATTTTTGGGACTCCGCTTATCTTTTCGTTGGTTGCGTTCTTTATGCCTTCGCACGAGACTTATTTCCCGACATTCACGCGGAGTCCGTCGGCGCTTCCGTCGGGTGACTCGATTCTACGTTAAATCGCAGCTATGATTGCAGCACTCTCAACCGACCGATGGCGAGCCAGGGCAGCACAAGATACGAGGATCGAACGATCCAGCGAGTGAACATGAACTCGAATAATGTCGGTCGACCTACTATATATCAATCAGTAAGTAACAACAACTAACAGCATCTCTAAGAGACACACGCAGCGCGTAGACGCGGACCGTAGGAACGTCGAGAAAGAAGTATACTGCACGTCGGATAATTTAGGTGGAAAGAAACATGCACGTGCACCTTATACGATGCAATTCGAATCGCCGGTCTTAAGGGAGAAAAATTTCGAGAAGGACATTAGAAAAATGTTTGTTCCCGAGTCTTAAGCTGCGCGCACATTTCGCGCACATAGAATATTTCTTTAAATCCAAAGAAACCAGAAAATGGAATTTCGAACGGCACATCCCGAGTGCCTTGTCGCTTTTAGAGGTAGAAGGTCCTCTCCTTAAGGCCGGTGAAATTCCGTCTAATCTCGTCTATCTCGATTGTTCGTTGCCATTATAGATCCGTGATCGCGCGAAGCCGTGATCTTCGCGCCGTCGCAGCACGTAGGATCTCGAAAGTCGACTTTATAAGTAGACTCCCTCGAATACACCGAACCGATAAACGTTTGTATCGTGTTTAACTTTTTACTTAGACTCGCGAGATGCGATTCAGACGCGATTACTAAAGTAGTTACCTAGAACGATGATTAAAAAAAAACAGAGAAAGGGAAAAACACCATCCGGCGCGATCGAGTGTGCCAAAAACGACAAACGAATGCGTCACTCCGCGACACCTTAGCAGTTGTCGCGCGCCCAACAGTCATAATGTAATTTGCGTCACGAGAGAGCATTATCGCGTACAATTCGATCGAGTGTGATCTGTACTGCGACAAACGACTGTGTCTTCCCGCTTTAGTTGGCATCTTTTATTATCTATACCTTGTGAATGATAGGATCTCCGTGTGCGGTCCATTGGACGCTGCATACGCTCTGAAGCATCTGAAGAGAAGCCATGACTGGTCCATATGTCGCGCTTCGAAGCATGTCTAACGTCTAATGGATTGCACACTCTCTACTCCTATTGCGTAGGGATTTCTTTTCGCGTAGGAAAAAATAAAAGAAGACTTTCTTTCGAAATGCAGAGAAATCGCGCAAGGGAATATGCATTTTTGTCTAACGTAGCGAGTATTATTAGACACGCAGACGAGATCGAATTAACGACTGAGAGCGAAAGATTATAGTTGCTATTACTGTAACGATGCGTCCGGCATTTTTAGTGGAATCAGTCCGATTAATTGTGCGAAGATTTAAACACAGATCACATATAGAGTGGCGATTCATTAGAGGCTATGAATGCCGTTTCGAAGCGCCTTATTGGATCAATCATGGCTTTTCTTCAGATGCTTCAAAGCGTTTGCAGCGTCTAATAGGTCGCCACTCATAGAACTCACACGAACGAGATTGTTGCACGAGACTGGACCAATCGACCTTTCGATCTTTTTAACGAACATATACACACATACACATCGTATAGCTCCACTAATTATCGAGACTAATCCCGAATACCTTTTGCACGGTTTTCATAACACTTTTCCATAACGCTGATCGAGTCAGTCGCGAAAGGCAGCGTCTCGCGCGCGCAAACGTTTGTAGAAATCCTAGGAATGCACCGCAGTGTTATATCGAGAACTATCTAGATACTCTAGCGAAGGTACTCGAGGTATTCCGCGTCGTTTTTGTACACAAATAGACAGATACATGTACACACACCCACATACTTTTGTCCGAAAGGGAACGCACAATGTATTACGATAAGAAGCTCTAGCTGACGAAATCACTGCCTAACGAACACACTCTTCGTACGTGCTCTCTAACGATAGCGTATTAGTTAATTCATTAGCTTCTAATCCGAGAGAGGATGATTTCGTACATCGACTGGTCACTTGACGAGGCGCTTTTCTTTTCTGTATCGACCTAAAGAAGAGAGGAAGGGAACAACAAGAAGAAAGCGAACTCCGTTTCCCAACGTGATCTTTCTAGCGACCCGATGTTGAGTTTGTACTTCACTCTGTGAACGGCAGAATGTGTGTAACGCGCGTTTTCTATATAAATTATTACGTAGTCCTTACTGTACACGCCCGATTCTGTATATAAGCTTAGACACGAGAGAGAACTATTGTCGAGACCTTATACGTAAGTCGAAGTACACGGTGCAATGAACACGAATAAATAAATAAATAAATATATATATATATATATATATATATATATATAAATATATATATATATATATATGATTACTCACACGCTGTTCACACACCACGCCGATAAAGAACAAAGATAGAATCGTAAAGGACCTTTGAAACGATTGGTATTACACTATTATTACACTCGTATACAGACACACAGCCTTATTATCTTTAATAAGATGTCCTACGAAAATTCGTATTAGGAGCGTAGAATAACGTAGAATCGACATTTATGACTTTCAGTTCATCATTTATGTACGACTATGGCTGAAGACGGTATAAATTGGATATTAACAATAAAAAGATTTCGTTGTAACGAGAGACCATGAGAAATTATTATGTATTTATTAACGAGAGGAATTTTTTTTTCTATTTATACCCTACCACACCACCATCACGACACAACAACAAAAAAGCCACACGGATTTATATACTATATATTTTATAGCACACACACACACACACACACACACACATGATCTCTCTCACGTGCGTCCTTGTATCACGTGTAATCTCGAGTATGCAATTATTCACCTCACGTCGAAGTATTTATATTCTGTATTTAGCCGACTTTAAAAAGCGCAGTGTGTAACAAACGAAGGATTACTTGAAGAGATATGTATATTAGATAGCCGTATACCTGAGAACTATACAAATAAAGGCCAAACATATCACACCTCCAACGTGGTCTTGCCTCTGGACGTCGGCGGTGTACTCTCGATTATCCTCGAGGTGTATTATTATCTCTCGATACGCAGGGAGACGCATGGATAATCGAGAAACACGGTCAATCCACGCGTGACTTACATATCCATGATAGCGTCTACTCGTTGCGTAACACGCGCGTATAATTGTTACCGGGTGTACTTGTACGTTCGTGTCTGTGCCTCGAGAGAGAAGGGACCGACGTCTGTTTCTTCAGACAGTGCGTGACGTATTTTAATTGCATCGGTTCATCAGTCATGATGATCGAGAAACGGAATGTACGATTGGGAACTTACAGATCTTTGCGTGAAGCCAAAAAATATGTACGAATTCAGGGGACAATTGTAGATTTAGAAAACACTTGTAAATTCAGGAGACATTTGAAAACTGAAAAGATAAATTCCGAAAACACTGACTGAATTCGAGGAGACTCGTGTCAAAACTGAAGAAACGGACATTGGTTTCCTCCTGCCGGCGCGCAGATGCACCCGCACGTTGCTAACGCATCAAGGATCACCTCTTCATCACCGCGCGTCACTTCTGCCTACGTCACCTTGGTCAGCGGCGCACTTGTCGTAATCGAGAGTACACCTGCACGCAACACCCCCGAAGCTGACCAGAGTTCTTTCAGTGTGCGGCGGTGGCGACGGCGGCGGCGGTTCCGGTAACGCTTCGCACATCCGCGCGCTACTCCCCCCTCGCCCACCCCCCGAGCGCAGCCGCGATGTGGCCGGCCGACGACGCTTCTTGCCAGGGGCTTGTGCTAACCGTTGGCTTGTGTGTGTGTTGCAGCAGCCGAAACCCGGTGAGCCGCTCTACGCGCAAGTTAACTTGGAGAAGAAAAAGAAGCGGCAGTACGAGCTGGGGGTGGGCCAGGGTCAAGCCGGTGGCGGCGCGATACCCGGCGGAGGTGGCGGCGGCGGCGTGACCGGGCCGGGTGGCGGCGGCGGGCCCACGTCGGTGGGCCAGTGGATGCCGGACGGCGTCGGGGTGCCGGACGGTAACGCGTCCGTCGCCGCCACGGTGACCAACGTGCCGCCTAACTCGACCGCCGCCGCCGCCGCCGGCGACTCCTGGGTATAACACGCCCTCGAGCAGGTCCGCAGGACCGCTGGGAACCTCGGGCTCGTCGCGTCCTACGCAAGCGAGCCCTCGCCGAGCCTGTCCATGTAGGAAGGAAAGAAGACTCGCGCGGCAACCGTTTCCGCCGCGGACATGGCATCGAGCACAGCTGCGTCCGCCGACAACGACGCCGATGACGACGACGACGAGGAGAGGAGAGGAGCGTGCGAGTCGATAAGGGATGCTAAACGAGCTCCTCCGTAAAGTCATGTAAGCTCACGTTCGAGGCCTCTCGACTGCGAGAATCGCGTCTGCGGAACGACTTCGTCGCGGATACTTGGCGGACGACGTGGTTGGAGGTCGACGTTTGTAAGATTAGGCATCCGTTGCGTCGTCAGACGCCATTGTCTGGGGTCGGGGACAGGGCGTGGAGGAATTACAGGTCGATCACGAGGGAGACCACGACGTCGTCGTGGTCGCTCTTAGTCGAGCGTAGGCGAGAAATGTTTTTACTGCAGGGTGTTATAAAGTAAGGGCAGACTGAATATATAGTATTAATACACGGCGATCGCGAGGAGGAGGACGATTCCCGGTGAGGAATCGTCAGTAGAGAAGAAGGCGGTCTCACACACACGCTGATCGTTCCGATCGAATGAAAGTAGCCCCCGTTTGCGAGTGCATTCTCGCTCGGAGCGTTGTCGAACGAGTAACACGCGAAAATAACGTTAAGTGTCGGACCTAACCACGCGACGGAGGCTTCTTCGAAGAAGGAGGAAGGCGACACCAGGTATTACACTTCGCTGTACAGAAACAGACGTCCACGTTAAGATTAGGAAGATCGCGATCGCGCGTCGAAGTTGAGCAGCTGGGTCTACGCCAAGTCGAGGGATAACGATGGCAGCTTTTACGAGTAACAGACTGAAAGCGAAGCGCCAATCCGATTCCGAGGGTTGAACTCGGGCTACGAAGATGTACGCGCGCAAAGACGAGAACCCTCGGTTCGACGAGCGGAGGAGTGAAGAACGAAAAATGTATCGCGTCGTGCAAGAGGAGGATCAATAGGATCTGGAGATTCGAGGTTTCTGTCGAGATCGAGAATCGTTCCTGTCGTCGCGTCGTGTCGTCCTGTCTCGGTCTCAAGGACAACGTGAAGCTCCTCTCGCCCGTATCGTCTACGGGACGAGGCGGATTATAACGGGATCGACTGCAAATAGCCCGGGAAGGAGAAAAGGGTCGAGATCAAAGGCTCGCGGCGCGCCGAGGTTGATCGAAAACGTCGTCTCTCTCTTGAGCGCGCACTCGGATGAAGTGCACACTCGAGTCGCGAGGAGCCTTCGTGCACGTTGACCTTGAGACCTCCGCAGCGACGCGCTCAGCCGTTCATCGAGAACTTCCTGCGGCAGGATAAAGTCGGGACGGGACGAGGAGGAGAGGGAGATCCCGCAGAAACGTGCGACAGCGTGTGCACCTCGAGTGCATGACGACGATGCACCATCATTATCACCTACAATCAACAACATCACCACCACCACCACCACCACCACCACCACCGCCGCCGCTATCACTATCACCGTTATCATCATCCAACCCCCTTCTACCCGCAATTTCGATGTACGACACCACGATGATGGTACTCGGCGAGCAAGAGAGCGACTCGTCCAACAACCACATCCGCAGCAGTAGTCGCACTAAATGGCTCTAAAACCTTCATTGCACAATTCTAAATTAATATATACTGCGTCTAAATATATTACACGCCGCGTCATGGACGGACACACAATCACACATACATACACACACGTACATACGTATGCAAATGCGTACGTACTACACAAAACGTATACACACGACACGAAAGCGTAAGTGTATATTTTAAGACGGTATTAGCGGGGCGACGAGAGAAAGAGCGTATACCGATCATCGTGAAGTACCGTTAAGAGTATAAGTAGGCGTGTCTATGTAAGTATTATAAATAAGTAAAGCGGCGCAAAGAGAGAAAGAGAGAAGCGCTACGTAAGCGATTAAAAAAGGATCGCCCGTGATTTTTTACGCAGCTCCGACGACGTCGGTCGTGTAGCTTTATATCTCGCAGCACAGGGAGAGAGAAAGAAAGAGAGCATACGACGTCCTCTCTCGCATGGAGGAAGCGCCAAGAGGACTCGAGAGTTAAAATAATATCCTCCGTGAGACATCCTGCGCAGAGGTACAAGAAAGAGAGAGAGAGAGAGAGAGAGAGAGAAAGAGAGAGAGAAGATCTAAGCGCAGGAGAAGAGAGAGAGAGAGAGAATGCGGGTGTGAAAGCTCGCTGACGATTACGTCGCATCGCAATTATACGCATCAGCGACGAATCTCGCTGCGATATTATGGTCCGGCGCGATCACGTCACCCGATACGAATCACACTCGATAACAATTACACGCTCGCGGGCGACGGATTATTCGATAACGCGTTTTGAGCCCGCTCGAGAAACGGCGTAGAACGGGGAAGAGGAGGAAGACGACAACGGCCGGCTGCGCCCGCGATCGAAATTCTGACGGAGCCGCAGCCGCGCGCACGTTCCTCACGATCGCAGCGAGAAGAGATGCACATGTACATACACATTATCTCTGTGTGGTGGCGTAATAATATTAGTTGCGGAGAAAGAGAGAGAGAGAGAGAGAGAGAAAGAGAGAGAGAGAGAGAGAGATATATCACGCGCGGTTCGGCGCGACAGCCGCTGCATTATTAATCCCGTTACCATTTAAGGAGGTTGCGTTTGCACTTGCTTCTTTGTAATACTTGGATACCCACCTCGTCGTGCGCGCGCGTTTTCGTATGCGCGCGCGCTCGTTATAAATATTACGAAAGGAAACATGAATAAATGAATATATATTATATATATAAATATATATATATACATAAATATATGAATATATTATATATATATTATACATATACACACATACAGCGACACACTGGCGTAGATCTTAGCGTATATGACTGTACTATGTAAACTTCTGAGGCTGTGGGTGTGGCACAAGGATGCTGATTTATGAGCTGCTGCACTGTTGCAACGTGACTTTAGGAAATATACACTTTTAAGCGTGCGTGCGTGTATGCGAGAGCGTGTGCATCCTGTACGCGTGCGTGTGTGCGAGCGCGAATGCGTAGGAGCGCGTGTCAAGGTGGAGAGACGCACGTGGTTCAAGTGTCGCGCAAACTCGCGTCTTATCGTGTTGCGCGAACGTATCTCATCACTCAGCGGGATGGGGTACACGACTGCTCAGGATTTCTTTCACTTCGGTACAAAGAAGGGGGAAAAGATTCCGCAAACGTGCCGTAAACTGCGCGATGAGAATTTATGTGTGGTGCAATTTTTCAGATATAACCTTAGAGAACGTTGAACACGTGTGATGTCGCAAGATCTTTAATCTTTCCTTTCCCGCGATCCGCAATTCGGTGATCTCACGTGAGCGCGAGTGAGTCTCCCGATGATAATTAACACAGTGTCTAATTATAAATAAGAAAAAAAGAACAGTACGCCGAACGACCAAAGCGTGTGGCTTCGACGATTCGCGGAGTACTCGACGCGGTGCAACGCTGCTTGATGTTCTATTAACCTCTCTCTCTCTCTCTCTCTCTCTCTATCTATCTATCTATCTATCTATCTATCTATCTGTGTTAACGTTATTATTAGTGATGCAACGCGGTGGTAAGGCGCGAGGGAGAGCGCGAGGGAGGTGACGCGCGACACGCCAACGGCGGATCTCCACCTGTTAGTCGGCATTTTGTCCTGGTACGTAATCCGCGGTCGATCAGTGGCGCCTGAGCCATTAACTATTGCTAATGACACAATTACCGTAGGTATAATTAGCGCAGCGAGACCAATGTACGTCGAGCCCGATCACGTGTGAGAGCCCATCCGCAATAGCGGGCGGCGAGACGCCGTGGCGAGTTGGCCACGGAAGCGCGCGCGCGCGCGCGAGTATAACGAGAGATGATGTTTCACGTTATGCGATGGTTACGAGAGAGCGGTGGCATATATTAATATAGCCGAGATATATACATATTATAGATATAAAATATATCCCTGTTCTATTTCTTAAAATAATATTACGACAGTTGATCAGAGAGAAAGAGAATGAGAGAAAGAAAGAAAGAGAGGGAGGGAGAAAACGAGATGGCGCAATGGCCCTCATTCCGAGCTCTCCTTCACCGACCAAAAGTGCCTCTAGATGTGAGGCTTATGAGCCTTCTGAGATTGGCTTATAACCAAACGTTTAGGAGCGCTTTCATCGATGAAAGACAGTTGAGAATAAAGACCTATGGCTTCTCCGGCTAGGGGCGTTCAGATTCCTCATCCGGGTGCACTCTATTACTAGAAACACTATAGTATATGTTACATGTACTGTAGCACTTCTAGTAATAGAATACACCCGGGTGGGGAGTCTGAACGCAGCCTAGGAAATCGCGCCGGACGACGATCGTCCGTTACCACTCGCGCATCAACCTGTCTCGTCGATCGTTGGTCGCCTTTTATCGTCGAGGAATAGTTTTCACTGGGTTTCTCGAAGGATTCCCGCAGCACTAGGAGGGTCGGCCATGCAGATAGACAAGCCTCATTTTCTCAGTAGTCTCTTATCATGTTATATAACACAATAATCCAGGATGCATAAGAAGGAGAAGGGATGAGAGAAAAGGTAGTTTTATCTTCTGTAGACCAAATGTGAAGGAAAATATGACGTGAAAATCGAACTAGTTATTATAGTACGTGTAATAACGGACTGAGAAGACCTCGAAATGATCAATCAGTCGCCGGCCCTCTTGGCGTTCGTGCACTTCGCCCAACGTGCTCTATTTTTTCTTTTCTTTTAATCGTTCTCCATCTATCTTGTACATAACATCGTTGAGACTCGCGTATAATTTGTAGAGAGAACGCGCGTCGCGTCAGCGTGGTGTCGATTTCAATTCCGATCGCGACTAATCGATCTGTTTCTCGCGCGACGAGACCGGTTGGTCTCCTGTCAAAGGGGCGATTGTCGTCGGAACGAGCGTATGAACGTTATTCTATCACGTGCTACTCACTTTACTCCGTGACGACGTTCTCGAGGGAAAATTGAGCGCGGAAACCGAACCGGACCGTCCGCCACGTTCAGAAATGGAAATGATCGGCGCGAGAGCTCGCGCGAGTCGACCTTCTAATTTCATTTCGATACGGTATCTCCTTTTTCTCTCCCTAAATTCCTTCGTGTTGTCGCGATGATCTCTCCGCCAACGCGAACGCTGTGCAAATTTCCACGGTGAATGACGCGGTACGCCGCTTATCTGTCGCCAAACAAAATCTGTCGCGCAATCTCTTTTAGGAGGAAAATTAACAAAAATTAATATTTCCGATTTATGAAACATTTTCGAAAGCAGACCGAATTTCACGCGAAACGGATTTCCATAAATTTTTCATTCATTCCGATACATATATGAATAGTGCATTGACCGCGCGTACCTTTTATACGAATTATATAAAACATTTCAATATCATCACAAGCGTACCTTCCTCGTTTTAAGCCGAGAGATAAAAAAAACAGCAGATTTTAGAAATATATCGCGCAACGTAATTTGATATTTAATGTACTTGAGGGAGGCCGTTTTCGCGCATGAATGAAGAAGGAAACTCAATCCTTCAATTGGTCTTTTCAGCTGCACTGCTGAACTGGTCCAATAAGTTAGAGTGAGAAAAAATATACTTGTCTCACTTTAACTTATTGCACCAGTTCAGCAGTGCAACTAAAAAGAACAAATAGCACTTGCCACGATCGGCAAGTGATCGTGTATCTTAACCCGTTTGCAATATATCACCGTCTCGCGTGTTTTGCTTGAACAGACGATCTGTGAACTGATGCATTTCGAAGAAAACGAAGACTGAGGATGTGAGAGGGGCAACTGCGCGCGATCATTTCCATCTCGTCACGATGTCACGGCGGGCGTGCGAATTATGAGAACAAAAGGGAAAAGGAGGAAAAAATGAGAGAAACCGAACAGAAGGAAAAGCGAGGGAGACGAAATTGTACTCGAACGAGCTGACTGACTAACGTCTCTCCGGCGGTGAGACGAGCAAACCCTTCGAGCTTATCGCTCGGACTGGCTAGCAGATCCGTTGCGCTCGTGATAACAGCGTGATTTTAGTGCGCGCCGCGTATTGTCGCTAGCGATACCGGCGCGATCCCTAGAAGATTTTGGACCATTTGGCAGCGACACGCGGCCTCGAGGTCGGACGCACGCGTCGCTCATATCTCCGCGAGATGCTCCACGTGCACTCCGTGTCGAGAATCGACTCGACACGATCGAGCCGATTCTGTACAGTCTTACCCGCCCTTCGGGAACCCGGCGGATTTGACAGACTTGAGACCAACGAGTGCAAAAACAGGGGAGACCGGAGATGGACATTAGTCGGCTGAATGAGGAAACGTCGCGCAAAGCCGCATGAAAAAACAAAACTAATTGTGTCAACTAGAAAATAGCAGAACATGATATAGCTTTTGTTTCTGGCTTCAGTAACCAGTTCATAGTTACGTTAATCGACATCATACATTAACACTGTGATTCGTTGCCTGAAAAAAAAAACATTTTTGAGGCAACGAATCGGTAGGTTAATACAACCAGAAATGGATTCCTGAAGCCAGAAAGAAAAGCTACGCCATATTTTATTATTTTTCTAGTTGGTACAACCGTTCTGTTTTCCGTGTAATTTCCACCCTCCCTCCTGTTGAGCCGATTCTGCAATTAATTTCTCGAGCTTCTAAATTTTTCGAAATCAATTTACACGGGATCTCCTTCTCGAAATGACCAGGAATGTGCCATACTGAAAAGAAAGATAGAGAAATCATCATAGATACCAGCATAAATTATCGTTACCATACGAGAATTATCGCTGATCGAGGTGACGCATGGAAGAACGCGGGAACAATGATGACGAAGGGTCGTGGTCGTAAAATCACCGCGAGGAATTTGGAACGTTGCACGCAATTCACACATTCGTACAAATAGTTTGATTAACAATTACTAATGTTAATTTGAACCGGGAGCAATATTCGCACGACTGTCTGCGGCGTCTTATAAATTTTGCAGGAACGTGTCGTCAAAGTCTCCCCAGGAGTCGAGTCGTGTCTGCTTAGTCAGACTTTTTCTATTCGCGGAGGAGCAAATAGCGAGAAAAAGAACAGGGGAGGCAAGGCACGGTCATTCGCGATTTGTCCGCGACGTCGTGCTAAAACGTGGAAGAATCCCCGAGATATGACCGACGGCGATCCGCAGAGGAATCTCGCTCGAGAAATTGGGCGCATATCAGCGCACGTAAAATCGGCCACATCCGAATTCGCGAATCCGTCTCCCCGGCGGCGCGGACGCGTGCGCGCCGTTTTTGGACCTCGCGTTTTTTGTAGAATTTTATACTGCTGCTGCCCCTCCTCCTCAGGGCGAGACATGCTGAAGAGAGTCGCCGTGAGAGAAAGCTGACGTTTCTACTGCGTGAATTTTGATACTACACACTATCATCGCGCGCGAGACTCGCGATTATAGACATGGACGCGCGATGCGCCCGTCGCCGGGGAGGCGATCGATCGGATCGGTGCTGGGGAGAAAATAGATAAGCGCAATCGGGACGGAAGATAGCGAGCACTTTGCTTCTTTGTGTCGAATGGAGAGAGAGAGAGAGAGAGAGAAAGAGAGAAAATAAAAAGATGAAGATCGTTCACCAAACAGTATTCGATGTATTGAAAGCATTTCAGCAGTTAACATTCCAAATAGTTGAATAGTCTTATTAACTATTGAATATATAGATTGGACAGTCTTATTAACAATTACCGTTGTTAATTCGAGCCGAACGCCATTTGGAGGATTCGTAGACGAGCCGGGAGCAACGACTGTCTGCGGCGTCTTATGAATTCTCCACGAGCGTGTCGCCAAAATCCCCAGAATCGTGTCTGCTTAGTCGGACTGGCGGCCTCTCTCATTCACAAAGAAGCAAAGAGCAAGAAGAGCACGAGGGGAAGGACGGGGGACGACTCGTCCGATTTGTTCGCGTAGACGTCGCGTGCTAAAATGCGGGCGTACAGCTACGCCGCTCTCCGAATTCCACGGGATGGAATCTCACTCAAAAACGTGGGAAAAGTGCCGGTACTTTCAGTCGAAGCGATAGTGCCACTCGAAACTGCAAGAGTGAATGGCTTCCCTCCAACTCAGAGCGAACCCCGACTCCGTAAGTGTGAATGTTCCGCCCTTCACCTTCACCCCCTTCAATTCCGAGGGAAAACACTCGCTGGACGATTCAGGGTGGAGCACTCGCTGCGAATGAATGAGAGATCACTCGAATCCGAAGCGACTCGACCGTCACTTCATTCCTCGAGTGAAGCTTCGCGCCAAGAAATCTAGAGAGTCTCCTAATTCGAAATTTCCTACCACTGTTGCTCCACTCTCGTTTTCCTCAAACCTTCGAAAATCGTTCGCGTTTCATTCTTCAATTTTGCGTGAAAGTATTTCGCCGGATGAGCCCGTGGAGCCAGTGGAAAACTTCCACTCATGAGTGGAAAGTCAGTCAAATCCGAGCGAATTCGACGGTCGCTCTATTTTCCGAGCGGAATTTCACTCCGAGGAATTTCGAGAGCGCGTCGAGCTGAATAATTGCGCCCGGGTCACTTCGCGAGTTTCCCCCAGCGCCGCGTGCTTCGTCCCAACGCTAGACAGATTATCGTGACGTTCATCTCTGCGCTCCTCTCTGTTTTCCTTAGGCTTGAGACCGGAAGGCCGCGACTCAATTTTCGAGATCGACGCGAGATTTCCCGCCTCGAGCGCCGCGAACACGTCGACTTTAGTGGGCGCGATCGACACGTTTACCGATCGATCGACGACAACTTGGACCGAGATTTTGATACATCCGCTTTTCATTCTTTATGTGTGTGTGTGTACACTGTCTCCCGCGTATACCTCCGGCGTTTATAATTTTCTACGAGCACAGAGAGACGACGACGCGGAAGAGAGAGAGGAAGAGAGAGAAAGAGTGCGGGAGAGAAGGGAGCACAAGGCGGCGGACA